ATATATATAATATATATATTACAGGGTTTAAGTGTTCTGGACATCCTTTATTTACTTGTCAGAAATCTGTATTCTGTTCCTTTATCTGCCTCAGAAGGAAATAAGACCAAAAAACGAGAGGAGGGAAAGGAACTTTACCAAAGCTCCTACTATTTTGCTAAAGATAGTTGCCATGGTTTTTAACAGAAATGTCACACATAAGTAGCCTGGTGATTGACAGCTGCAAATCAGCCTGAAACATCTCAACTCTTTCACACAAATATTATCACCTACACAATCCCACATGCACAGCATACATAAAAGCGTTGCACCTTTGTGACCTTTGCAGGTTTTTTTTCTTTCATTTTACGGCATATGTGCAGCACCTAAGCATTTTTGAGCCATACCTTAGATATATGAATGTTAAAACAATGCGAATATCATATATTATACCATAATATACTGGAAAAATGCATGAAAATTTGATTGATATATATAATACATTTGTTTCTCCTGTCCGTTATAGCTCTTGTGTGGACTAGTAACAGCAGCCAGAGGTAGATTCTGTAAATAGGGTGAGATTCTTTTGATTCAGACACCTAAAATGGAAAGAACAAGTATTATTATTTCTTTCACAAGGTAGAAAAATGTGCTTTTGATATCTGACCTTGAATGGTTGAAATGCCAGAATTTTAGAAAAACAGTGTTAAGGAAAATTCTGCCCCTAGATCAACGACAGGATTACAGACTAAAAGGATTTTTCGATTTAATTTTTTTTTTTTAATAGTAATATAATTTGCTCTCTCTCTTTCTTACTCTGTCTTCCCTTCTCTTTCTGTTTGTCTGTGTGTGTGTTTGTGTGTACAGAGCGTCATCCCATTGAATATGCCATAGATGGGACCAACCGTTGGTGGCAAAGTCCCTCTATAAAGAATGGAAGGGAGTACCACTATGTGACTATCACGCTAGACCTGAAACAGGTAGACACGCACACAAACACACATACTATATATATATTATATTGTATGGAATTACAAATGCATTCCCTTACCCCAACCTTAAACTGATACTCATAATTTGTCTTCTGAGTTTCAAACATTCACTCCCTGTAGCACTGTAAGAATGACAGCTGTGGTCGGCTTGGATTTATGTTACTCAGAAGGGATTTTACTGGTGACTTGTCATAATTGGAATCCACTGTGAACGCCATGAATCAAACCTGACCATAGCTATTACTCTCTACAAAGTGGCAAACTGCAAACCTTTTTCCATTCATCAAGGTTCATTTAACAGCATCCAAACCATGAATAACTTTTAGATTTAGTTGTTGTGTAGCTGTGTGTAAATAGAGACAGTTGCACCAAGGCACCATGAGGATTTTTTTTGTCTGTATAATTTTGGTTGAATGTGGCCATGTTTGGTGCATCTTTATTCATGGTAATGATTGTCAAACAAGTTGTAATTCAAAATCAGGTGAGGAAATAATAATTTGCTTCCTAGATTTACATGAACACTGCATATTGTCATGACAATCTCAGCTTGGATTTCATTGTATACGAAATTAGAGCAATTAGTTCATCATCTAAAAGGATGTGTCTTTGTTTTGTTGTCCAAGGAATAAAGCTACTATTGTTTCAGCGGTGCTGGAATTAGTTAAACCAACTTTGCTATCAATCATTTCTTAAGCATGTGTGTCACTCTTTAAATAATTGGGTTTCCATTTTTGATTCGGAAAGCTTGGCAGGAATCTCGATGATTGAGAGGCTGTGTACTGGCATGGGATGATTTAGGACATCTAGTTCAGTTTAGAAGTGTGATTAAACAGATTAGACCCCCAGATTATAATTATATAGATGTCATGAGAATAAAACTAATGAGGCGGAGAGACTTTAGTTCATGGGAAGCCTTTGGTTCATTTAGAGAAGCCTGTCAAAAATTGCTCTTAAGGTTAAAAAGAGATTAATTTGTCAGTGTTTCTAGAATAAAATGCCATGATATAGCAATAAAAACAGAGAATCAAGCATCAATAAAATCCAAAGCTCCTAAAGTAACAGGAATTAGCAATAACTACTTAAAATCTCTTATAAATTATTATTATTATTATTTATTTTTTTTTATTGCCTTTATGATAGTGACAGTTGAAGAGAGACAGGAAAGGGGG